CCATGCACGACTAAGTACAGTTTCATGTCATCCAATCACGAAGCTCAACCAATGGTACACTGGGCAAACATGACATCCAAGTTAGCACATATGATACGTCGGCGCAAACGGTTACGTGATTAGAGGATGCTCGTTCAACCAATGATATGGACTATTACATTCTACAAAACATGATCTAATTCCGTCAATAAACATAAGCATTTGCTGCTATCAAGTCCTTGTGTATTTCATTGGTGTCCGCAGTTCGGGTTGGAACCAATTCAGTTCTGAACAGTACAGCCCGGATTCTTGTATTCCTAAATTCAATACTGTTCCGATTACCACAATTATGTTTGCAGGTGAGGTGATGCGAATATGTAACCCCAGTCCCCCCTTCACATCTTTACCTTTACTCCGTCCTCGCTGATACAAGAGCTGTAATCGGCGAACTAGGTCGGAGACCAGACAGTTGATCACCCGGTAGGTATCACGAAGGTAACTCACCCAGGTGATATAACACCCACCACCACTAGACACAACTCCTTTCCTCTCAAGGCAGCGGGATTTTACCCAGAGAAATACACCTATAGCGATAAGAGAAAAAAAACCCATCGGCTAGACAATAATGCGAGGAGCACTCGAAAGTGAGTGATTGGTGACAGGATAAACTCGGGTCGGCTCCCAACGCCCCATGGTGTTGAACGCGGAAATGATAATAATAATAATATTATTAAGAAGAAACGGGGTACCCAGCAGGTCCCAACCGCAGGAACCGTCAAAATAGTGAGTTATCCTGTCAACCGATTAAGGAAAGGAGAATGAGAAAAAGACGGGAAAAAAGAAAGGTAAGTGAAAGAAAAAAAGAAAAAAATAAAGAAACAAAACAGTATTTAAAGCCGAAAGAGAACTGAAACGTACAGGTGGTTCGGCGGGAGAATCACTCTCGGTTAAACACTCACAGTCAAAGACTGGAGTCGGTTAAGGGCACAGGGGTACTACATCCTTAACTGCAAACAGCACTCATGCACCCGGTTACCCCACACAAAGTGCATTCATCTACACACCAAAATCCAGGTCGGAACGGCCGCGTCATGCAGCCCTGAGGCAGCGTGTCGGTCCAGTGCGAAGTAAGCTGCGAATGCGGCTCTGGAAAGCTGAGGGTGGAGACCCACCCCATTTCCCATATCTACCCAACGCACAGCTTTTCTTTATTTTTTTCACCCCGACTGCTGGAAGAATGATTGCATGGTTTGGTTGTGTGTCCTGGCTGTACAGAACGGTTTTGTAATGGTGGGCGCTATTGGAACACTGTAAAGCCTGTGGTGGCAAGAGCCTTTTTGAACCCCATTTATGTGATCTTGACCATTGGTTACGTACGAGCGGAAAAAAGAACTGTAGAACAGTAGCATTCCTAACTGTTTCTTAATTCAAACACACTCTGATACCGAGTAACAGACAACTACTCCGAGGACCTCCGTCCGTCAATGAGCAATAAACCTGCCACCAAAACCCCGGCTACTCGAAACTTCGGTTCCCAAGCCAGTCAATCCTCGTGAAACTGGATATTGGACATTGGACCTGACCTGAACTAAACTGAACTGCGTTACGTTAGCGCCCGGTTTCAATTTTCAAACTGCTCATGATCGAAAGTATTTTTACTCAGCTAATTGTGAAATATCAATAGATGTTTCAAACTATATATGGTGAAATATCCATTTTCACTATTCGTTTCGTTTTGTGACCTCAAAAGGGCCACACCTTCAAAGCGTCATATAGTTAAGGGTGAAATATCAATAGATATTTCATAGGATTTTCCACAGTCTTTGTATCGTACAGTCAACCCAAATGGTCGGCCAGTTTTACTTTTTTGGAAACTTTTGGTCCCGTTTTAACGCCAGCTTAAGTCATTTTTGGTTGAGTATTTTTGTCTAGGGGTTTTTGCAGTTTGAGGTGCTTTTTCTATATACTGTTTTTCCCGCACGATACGTGATTTGTATTCATTGTTACTAAAGCAGCCATGGTACAGTATCCTGACACTTATGGAGCCAGTAGCTGTGGTAGAGCGGTTAGTAATGGTATCCAGTGTGATAGATGTGGCTCGTGGTACCATGAAAAATGCTCCAAAATGTCGAAGCAGTGCTATGCGCTTCACCTTCGACATGAAGAATTAAAGTGAATATGCGCACACTACGAGGCTGTTAGAGGAATATTTACGCATTCTGCAAGAAGCCTTGGTAGGGGCTGTGACCACCAGTTCACCACCAACCTCCAATACTCGCGCGCCGAGACCAGCGACGAAGCCTAGCGTTAAACATACTATGAAGGAAAACAATGGAAAGGAGAAAATCACGAGCACAGAAGGGAAATAAACCACTCAACTGGGCTACGGTTAAACAGTTGGAGTCAATAGAAGTGACTGTACCTATAGAACAGCTGGAGAAAGATCTCCAATAACTGCAACGCACCACTCGAGTGCTACTGGGTCGAACGAGAAACGTCTTGCTGCATAACTTTGCGGATCCAATGATTCGCGATACTAAAGCACGACGGGAGGCGGATCGCAGAAACGTTCAGGATGTTTTTCGACTGGCGGGTATACCGGTCAGT